CGAGTATTTGTTACTATGGTCAGTGAGCACATTTTTGAGCTCTCCGAAAGTGCTTCTACCGTTTTAGATTAAGTAAAGCTATCACCATTAAATTAAATAAAATCTACTTTAGTTTAATAATGGCTTCAATAAACAATCTAACAGCAGTTTATGCAGACAAGTTTTATTTAGCATCTTCAACGGGCGTAAGTGAAATATCAGACACCTACGCAACAAAGACAGAAGTTGAAAATCTTAACTTCACAACGGACATAACGGCAAACACCGACGCCATAGCAATATTGAACACAAAACAATTGCAAAATTTCAATAATATTAATGCTATAAATGATGACTTAACTAATAATTATCAAACTAACACAGTTTTAGCAACTAATTTTTACAATAAAACGGAGATTGATTCAACATTTACTAATTATTATACATCAACGCAGGTAGACACAAATTTATCTACTAATTATCAAAATAACACACTACTAGCTACCAACTTTTATAATAAAGGTGAGGTGGATACATTAATAGCAGGTGCTGGTGGTGGGTCGGGATACACTGATGCAGAAATTGATAATTTATTAGATTTAAGAGTTCCTAAGTCCGATTTTACTGATAGGTTTTCTACCTTTCCGATCATTGATTGTAGCGCTCCTACGATTATTCATAGTGGTTTAACATTAAACAATGAGACTATAAACATATCACCAAATACAGGATTATTATTCAGTAATCAAACAGGAGGAGGAGATAAAGTTGTTAGTGTATTTAAGAATGCTACAAATTATATAACTTTACAAGGAAACACAATTAATGCCAATGCCACAAGCGACGATAGTGTTGTGGATTTGAACCTAAACCCTACGGGGAATATTAATATGAATAACGACTTGTCGGTGAATAATGTAAATATTACAACTAATGTAACAATAGGAGGTGAAATTGACATAACAAGCAATTTGACAGTAAAGGGGGATATTGAATTAACAAACGCTAACACAAGTATTGAAAGATATACTAATGCTACTAAATCTAATATATCAATGGATTTATCAATTAATGAAACCGCGAACGCTATAAGAATAATTAGTGGAACTAATGACGATACTGACACAAATACATATCTAGAATGCAATAATACAACGGGTGGAACAACATTGTTTAAACCGACATATTTTAAAGATAATATTTATTATGAAAGTGCTGATTTTAACATTTCCAATACTTCCGGACTAACAATTTACAAGCCAACAACAGACGCTAGTAATGTTGTAGCAATTGCTAATAATAGTGGGAAATTAAGATTTAGAGGTTTTAGTATTGATGCATATAACACAAATGACTCGTCACAACAGTTATTTTTAAATATGAATAATAGTAACGCGGTGAGGTGCAATAAATTAGGAATCGGGGCTAATGCCGTTGTAGATGTTCTTAATGTTAACGGTGGCAATTCTAATTTTAGTTCTACAGTAAGATTTAACGGCGCTACGACTTTTAATAATGAAATATTAATATGGAATAATAGCAAAATATACAGAAGAGCAGACGCGAATAACTCATTAAATTTAATAACAAACGATGAAATAAATTTCTCTTTTCAGTCAAACAGAGCAACCGATCCAACAACATCAACAATAGCATTGCAATTAACCGACACCAACGGAATAACATTGAACAGAGCAGTAACAAATAATTTAACTTTTAATAGTATTGGTGATATAACAGCAGAGGCAAGTTTAAGAGTATGGGGTGATATATTATTTCAACATTCATCAGGCATTAAAGAAACCTTAAATGGAAGCGATTATGATCTAGATATAAGAAATGGAGACACAGACAGAGCAATTAATTTTATCATCGGAACCATAGGAAGCACACCGGAAATTCAATTGACAGAAGGTAAAATGAATTTACTAGGAAATTTAGAAATAACTCACGACGACATAACAGGACAGCAACGAGTATTAATAAAAAATCCAGATGACAACGGATGGATAAGATTAAGTAATAATAACTTATCAACATTAGACGCAACAACAACAGGCGTTGATGTTTATGGTGATCTTTCATATACAGGGTCGTTAATTCCTTCATCGGATAAAAGATTAAAGAAAGACATACAAGAAGTGAACAGTAAAAAGGCAGTAGAGTTAATAAAGTATATTAAGCCGAAAACATATCATTTTCACGATGACAGACAACAAGGTAAATCGTGTATTGGTTTTATTGCTAATGATTTTATGGAACTAAGAAGATGCCAGATGAATGGCAGAATGTAGTAAAAGAGGGAAAAGATGGGTATTTGAAATTTGACTATACAACATGTGTGCCAATTTTATGGAGTGCGTTGCAGTATACTATGAATGAAAACGAAGAAATGAAAGATTTATTCAGAGCAATGAAAAAGGAAATGGCCACCATGAAAGGGGAAATAACTAAGCTGAAGAAGAAAGTAAGAAATAATAGCGATAGCGATTAATATAAAATATAAGCTGATTTATATGAGTGAGTTTGAAGATCAATATAAAGTGTGTATGGAACTAATAAAACAAAAAAGTAGAGAAGTATCGGAAACGGATATATTACTAACTGCTATGAAAGACCTATTAGGTAAATTACAGGCAGAAGAAGACAAAGTAGAAGCATTGAAAAAGAGGAAGAAATGCCCCTGCTTCGGTTTTACTCATTTACATTGTTGTAATCCTAGTTTATTTTAATGATAAATAATAAAATTTTTAGTAATATTATTAATTATCTTGGGTTGTTTGTAGGAACTCTTCTGTATGTTCTTTGTTTGCTTGGTCTTCTAGTGGCTGTAACTTCTTTCGTTCATAATACTCCTTGCTCTTCTTATTTCGCGCCTCCTTATTTAGCCAATGATAGTCTCTGTCCTTCTGTCTTCTTTCTTCAAGGTGGTTTTGTCTATATTCTCTTGATTGTTGGTTCATTACCTCTTTATGATCTTTATAATACTCACGACATTTTTGGTTGTGTTTTTCCTTATGTATTTGATGGTTTAACCGTTTCTGTTCATTTATCTTGTCTCTGTTTTTCTCACGGTATTGTCTGCGTTTCTCATTGATTGTTTTCTTTGTGTTTGTCTCTCCATTCTCGCCTTGCCTGATTAATATGTTCTTTGTTGAGTTCACGTAGCTTCTTCCTTTGTTCTTTGATTATGTCAGAGTTCTCTTCTCTGTAACATTTTGCTTTTTGTTTTATAACTTCTTTGTTATCTTGATAGTATGAGTGACGGTAAACAACTTTCTCATAATCTGTTCTAATCGGTATAGACTTATTAAGAGTTGCTTTTAGTTCTTCAATGTATGCTCTTTCTCGTTGCCGTGCGTGTAATGAACTTTCACAGCTTTCAGTTTTTAGAAGTATCATATCAAAATTGTCAAACCCGCCGTTTTCACGTATAAACTGGTATAGATAAATGTCATAGTGGATTTTGTCATTCTCATTGTAACATGTTCTTCTATGTTGTTGCTTCCTGTTTTTAAAATTGGTTGTGTGTCCAACGTAACAATCACTTATGTTTAAATCCTTACAAACAATTTTATAAAAGTGTGTTTTATGATAGTTCATCGGTGTTTTAGGCATACCGTATTAAGTATTATAAGTATTCATTCTTTATGTAGATTATTCCACTTCTATTTTATGGGTGAAATTAACCATAAACATTTCATTGATGTTCTTCTTCATTAAATCTACATATAAGAAGTTAAAATCTTCTGATGTCGCCATATGGTAAATTTCAAGAATAGTTTTACGATCTGCTAGTGCGGATAATTCATCAACTATATTATCCAGTTCTTTTTGATTTCTTAGTCTAAATATGAATAGTTGAGTTGCATTAACTCTAATCACAGGATGTAATATAAATGACTTTTGCGACGCGGTCACTACGCTAATTCCGGCATGTCTTCCCCTAACATATAGGGATTGTAGTAGTTTATTATGTCTTGCTATTTCAGGCGATTCAGCTATATCATCCAAAATGATCAGAATATTGTAGAGTTTCTTTTGTTTTTGTTCTTTCATAAACTTTGTCACCTTTGTCTGGGTATCAATAATTTTGAGTAAATCCGAACTCTTATAGTCTTCAAAAAAGCATTGTTCTTTTTCCGTATCAATTTTTAAGTTTTCTTTTACGTATTTCTTAACTGGATCCCAAATACTGTCGTGGTTAATACTAGGTGAGAACACATACACACGTTCATAAACGTCTCTATAAATATCTAATATTAGCGACACTAGCAGAACCGATTTTCCGGAGCCACTGGGTCTTAAAATAATCGCACGAAAGGGAACCTTTGGAACATTAGCATATTTAGATTGTTTAAAATGAAATGTTTTTTCATCAATAGGCTTGACAACAGGTATTTCACTCATTAACTAATAAGAGAAAAATATCTTTTAATATAATGGAGAAGTATTTAGAAACGATAGAGGAGATTGAAGAAATTGAAAAGGTTGTAAGTCAAGACACCAAGCTTAAAAGGTGTTGCACCGCTTCTTTAGAATTGCTTAAGGCAGTTCTTGAGTATTTAAAAAAATCTAAGAAAGTATAATGAGCGACAATCATAGGGAAACTAATGAAGGTGGCTTCCACTTGAACACGGATGGGTTAAACTGTTTGCCCTGCAAGTGCAGAAGAAAGACTTTTCACAAAGAAACCAAAATAAACAATGAAGGTAAAACAATAATTGAAGATAGAAGCAGTTGGAAGATGGGGAGAGGAATAACACCCGATGAAAACGACATCTTTAAAACAAGCCCACAAGATAATGAAGGTGTTGATACTGCGACCACCGGATGGGGATCAAGAAAGCCTACGCCAGAAGAGAGGTTAGAAAAAGTGGAGGAGGATGTTGAAAGGATAGACAAAGATGTAAATATTTTGAAGAATAATTTAAATATTACGGATTAAAATATATTGTATATTGACAGGCCATCTTGGCATAAAAAGCCCCCAGTCAAAAACAGAAGAAGGAAGTGAGCCAATGCCCCGTGTGCCTAGCAAGTTCTACAGGTTCATAGGCAAACCATAAGAGTTTGGTAATGACATTAATTCGTAATTAGTTTCGTTAAATCTTGTTATAAATAGTTGTATTTATAACAATATTCTAACATATAATATTAGCAATGCCAGTAAGAGTAGATAAGATATTAGTTGATTTTGAACCATATACTGAAACAAATAATATTAATACTAGGATGTGTTACCGTTGTAAGCAAGTCAAATCCATTGATTATTTCAAGCGTTGCTATTGTGTTGGTAAGCATTCTTATTGTTATGTTAAATACATTGCGACTTGTTCTGAATGCTTGGACAAGTCTGTCAAATAAACCGCAATGCAGTAAATCTTAAGAAAATAATAATTCTGAGGAAAATGACTTAAAGAAATAACACCTACATATATTAACAGGGAAATGTTCAAGTTTGAAAATTGTTGGAAGTGCGAAGAAACCAACAAAGTAAGGGTGTTAAATAGCAAATTGCCGATTGATATATGTAATCGTGTATGTGAATATGACAAGTGCGATAAGTGTAGAAATAAGATTTTAGAAATGGAAGACTTTGATAAAAACCTCAAACTTTCAAAGTTAAACAACGTGCAAAAAATAATATTACACTTGCTATATCGTAACCACGACATTGATACAATCATGGATAGGCGAAAATACAAAAACATCATCAGAAGGTCAAATAACCCACTGCGAAAGATAATGAAGCAGTTTATGAATATCAGAAACCATTCAGACCGCGAACGTCTTATGTTTCACGGTGTATGTCACGTGATGCTATTGTATTGTGTCATTCGCAATTTAACCGATATAGAAGAGCTTAAAAAGGAAATCGCATATTACAAGATTAAAACCGCTACTATAAGATTTAACGGCTTTGAAATTAGTAAGGAAGTTATAGTAAAGGAAATACTACGAGAATGTTTTGATTTTTGGTTGGTCGGTTGGAGAGAATATTATAATACAACCACTGAAGAGATTATGGAATATGTAGATTATGTATTTTCATTAGTATAGAAACAACTATAACACTATTATTAGCATGGTTATAGTTATAATGTAATTATAATACATAAGCAGTTATATATTATAATTACAATGTAGTTAAAACCCTTAACCCCAAACCCTGAACCAAATCCTACAAGGAACCCCTTGCCCTTTTTGAGTAATAATGCCACCTTAGAGGTAATAGATGGGGTTATGGTTATTCCTAGAATTGTATTGATAATGGGGTAGTGGTAGTGATATATCGGTGAAGTGTAGGGGGGAGTGTAGGAATGATCATCTAATGGGGGTAGTAGTAGTGATTTATCGGTGAAATGTAGGGGGGACCCTAGGAATGATCATCTAATGGGTTAGCGGTGGCATTATTACCCAAAAGGGGCGAAGGGGTCCCTGACTGTTTTGAGGTACAAAAATTTGCATGAACAAAAGCCGGCATTGTTATTCCACAGGGTTCCTTAATAGGCATGTTAGAATACATCCCCTCTAAAACACTGTTCTACCCTACATAAGGCCGCCAAACTGTCGCCCTGAGAACCGCCCTTACAGTATCCCTTCTAGAAACAAACCCTTCGGAAGCACATTTCTACAAGATCTCTAAACTTCCAGTACGAGAGCCCCCCTAAACCCTGAACCCTAAATCCTAAACCCTGAACCCTAAACCCTAAGCCCTAAAAAACCCTAAGCCCTATACCCTAAATCCTAAACCCTAAATTTTCAGTGGAAAGGAGCGCCTGGGCCTCTGGCTATTCGAGCAGAAGTTCACGGCGCCCGAGCGGCAGCAGCTTGAGAAGTGCATCCAGGACACCCGATACTTAGAGGATCATGGGACTTGTTAAGTAAGGTTCCTTAAAGGGCTTCTCAAAGAGGGCTTCTTAAAGGGATCTATCGGCTTCCTTAGAGCCTCTATAGGGTGTAGGGTTTGGGGTTTACTTAGAGGATCATGGGACTTAGTAAGTAGGTGGTTATCCTAATTATACCCTTCTTATAACCTTACTTACTAAGTCCAATGAGCCCTGAAGCAGTGACAGAACCTTTTCAAGGAACCCTTAAAGGAACCTTCATCCCCCTGTAGTGTTTAGGGCCATATAAAGGTTTAGGGTTTAGAGTAAGGAGTTTAAGGTGTAGAGTGTGACCAGCGGAATGCCGAATATTTCCTGAAGTCTAAATCCTAGAGCCTTAAGCACCATGCAATTCCAGGAGGTCCAGAAGGTGGCGCCCGACTTGTTGGACGAGGAACGGCTTAGAGCGGTTTGGGTTTAGGCTCGCGCTCAACTCTACAGAGGGGTTGCGGTTGAGCCCGAAAGAACAAGAAACCTTTTGTACAGTGTCGCTGTTTAGGGATTCGAGGTTAAAGCTTGGGGGTTTAGGTGTTCAGGCTTTAGACTTTAGGGTTTAGGGTTTAGGACGTCAGGGTTCCCTCATAAATAAAGGGGCCTTCCCCTGCTTTGTGAGGATGCGGTGAACGTCACCGAAGTGGAGCGGGAGCTGAACTCACACAATCCCAAGGCCGAAGAAGATCCGAAACCGGCGCACATCACCGCCTCCTCGTTCAGAGTTTAGGGTATATAGGGTCTATAGAAACAGATCCCTGTCCCCTATTTTGGGGTTTCGGGTGTTTTAGGCTCTATAGATCCCTTTACAAGCCTTCCCCAAACGCCTATGGCGTCGCTTTGTTTCAGGCAAGACCAGCCCAAACCCCCTGCAGCCCTCAACAATTCCAAAACTGCACAGACCCTGGCCAACCTCTTCAAGCTCTTGGTTACCACTGCCGCCGCTGGAAGAGGAAGAGTTTGAAGGGTTAGTTTGTGTTTCCGCGACGTTTCATTGGGCACTTGAAGGCTCATGGGACTTAGTAAGTAAGGTTATAAGTAGGTTATAATTAGGATAGCCCCACTTAGGGGACTTATAACCCCAGTTATAACCTACTTACTAAGTCCCATGATCCTCTAAGTAGTTGAGTGTGCAGTGATTTCAGGGGCTTCAGAGATTGGATCCCCTTCTGCGATCTACCAAATTGCCCCCCCCCCCCCCCCCCCCCCCAACAAACCATAAACCCCAAACCCCCCAAATCCTAAACTGCAAACCCCAACCCCAACCCCTAAACCCCAACCCCCAAACCCTAAATCCCAAACCTTTAACCCCCAAACCCTGCAGCTCAGGTCGCCAAGCACGGCGCCCAAATCGCCGAGGGGGGGCTCGGCGCGATGGGCATCGGAGAATGTGAGAAGGCAGACCGGGTTCTTGTTAATGGGTTTCATTTAAGTTACCATAGTTTAGTTTCCGTAAGGGGCTATAGGGGTTAAAGGGGTTCAACTTAAGTTACCATAAGAGGGGTCTATAGTGTAGTATAGTTTCCTCATCATGGTACTTAAATTAAATAACTCCCTAGCAAGAACCCAGCAGAAGGGGGTGGTGAATGCAGGGCCTTCGTCCACTTTCAGGATTTCTTTAAGTGTTGGGTTCCACTAAAGAGACCCCCAACTCCTAAACCACATATTCGTTGTGGTTGAGGGCTTGGTTTATATGAGAACTGACGCATCCAGTGTCCCATTCGGATTGGCGGCTCCTGATGCTTCAAGCCAGAGACTCCAATATCCCTTAATTACTAGGACCCGGAGTAGGCCCTTATTCCCTTTTTTAGGGTTTAGGTTCCCTTATAACCCCCTTTAAACCAAAAAGGGCACCCTTTTTATTCCTAGGTTACTCTTAGGTCTAGATTAAGGAATATTCCTTAAATTATAGTAGGATCCCTAATATGTTCCTTAATTACGGGATATTGGAGTCTCTGGGAAGCCAACCAGGTCATTTGCGCCGGGGATCTGAAGTACGAGCTCGATGACACCGGCGTCCACAAGTGTACCTGGAGCCTCGGGTCGCAGGGCTTAGTGGGACAACTCTGCCACATGGCAGTTTCCGAAAATTAGGGGTACCTTACTTTGGGGTCCTTATGTAATAAGGATCCTAATATTTAGGGTGCTGCATTGGGGTCCTCTATTTTCGGAAACTCCCACAGACCATCCGATGTTTCTTCCCTGTCCAGCCCTCACACGAATTACAAACGCTCCAAGATGTTCAGCGAGCCAGGAACTGCCCTGCAGATGAAGACCAACCCATGATCCCGGGCCAGTTCCAGTCCGTGGGGATGTCATTGGCCGAGCAGGTTCGCGGCCTAGGGCTCAGGTTTAGGTAAAGGGGTGTGGGGTTCAGGTGGTTAGGAAGGGATTAGCATGATGAACTGCATTGTTATGTTTCGTTCCTGTATAGCAATATATCATTTTATAATCAGTGTATATATATATATATATATATATATACATGTGTATATATATATATATATGTATATATATATATATATATATATATACATGCTAATCCCCCCCGAAGAACTACCGCGGAGGTGCCGCAACAGTGCCACCAATCCTCCTAAGTTTAGGCTTCTATTGTAGGATCCAGGCTTAGTGTTAGATTTTGAAGTTCGGAGGGGACAGCCTGTGCATATCGGCAGCGGCATTCATTCTCAATTGTTGTGACCCTTCACACAGAAACTCTGACAAAAGATTTCCCAACAATGAAAGTCATGTCTGTCGGAGTACCCGAAGCTCAATATGGGCACGAGCATTAACTCCTAACGTAGCCTTCACTACAGTTCCAGATCCAAGCCCCAGCAATACGTATGAATGACCGTGAGCATTGACTGACTCCTATTCCTAAACAGCAATATCCTAAGACTACCCCCGCCATTGGACCTTACATTGGCGCCAATGGTGACAGTAGTCTTCCACTTCATGTTCACCCACAAATGGTGCCTTATGGATTCACGTCTCACTTCGTATGGATTAACATGTTATGCCCCATTATGTATACATCCCCATATCAACTCTCATGCCGAGCTGAAGGTTAATACAAGGTTCATGCAATCACATACATCAGTTTGACTGGCCCCCTGATAGTAAGGATATTGCCGTCCCCCCAAGATGGACCTTACTCGCAAACTTAATATTACCCATAAGTTGTTCCTTGTGCCAGATATTGCCTTCAACTGCAACCCACATAATGGCCATTGGCCCCATCAACATGTTAGTGCATCCAGATGTAGCTGTGGGTTACCATTCAAGTCTCCGAAGTTAAAAGCCATGGCATCCCCGTTACTAGTTACTGTTAAAATACTAATACATGTAAGCCAAATACTGCCCCAAACATTTGCTTCAACGGTTGCCGTCATATTCACGATAATATCAATCTACACGAAACAGATTCCATTAAGAACCACCATCCTTGCTGTCTTCGCTCTGGAAATCCCCAGAGGCTGGCCCTTCGATTTGTAGGGATTATACCAGCATTTGTTTGTTTACCTCGACATATAATGCATGGCCCCCCTTTCTCACTGTCAGACTTGATGTCGGACTTGCACGTATGCGGTATGTACATTTATGTGTCTATATACACATAAATGTAAAGAATCCGGTTAAACCTGTACTAGGTACCAACATAGTGACGAATATCATTGGCCGACTCCCGTTTCCAAACAACATCAACCCTAACCATATCCTTGTCATTCGCCGTTATGTCAATGATGACCGTAATATTCGCCCTGATAGCAGCCCGAAGGACATCCATAGTAGGCTTGGTACCACCCAGAATCTGATTCCGATGTTTCTTACTTAATTGACAACTTCAGTCATCTAGAAGACATCAAGCGGTAGCTGTCATAACCAGCTCCCTATCGATCCCAAAGTTGACCCGGATATTGTCTTGGTTACTACCCAACATATTGTAGAGTATTCATGTTGGCGGAATCGCATCCCAGTGATAACAATACTCTAACCTTAAGGCAAATCTTGTTCGTAACGCGCGCAAACAAATGAAATGCACACTCTTCGCAAGAAAACCCTGGTTTTGGAGTGGATTGCCAACTTTTTCCCCCAGGAAAAGATAGTTCTCCAAAATAGGCGTGATTTTTTCCGTTGGGTAGAAGATGGTTTTGGATGGGAAAAACCTTGTTTTCTTAGGAAAAACTAAAAAAACAAAAACCACATTTTTTTGGTAAACTATGTGGCCAGACTTCAAAAATTGTTTTTTTGAAAAACCAACTTTTCCGATGAAAAAGATGGTTTTGGGATGAAAAACACAATTTCTCCTGGGAAAAAGATGGTTTTGGTGTGGGAAACCAGTTTTTTCCTGGGAAAAAGATGGTTTCGGATGAAAAAAACAAAATTTTTCCTAGTGAAAACCAAGAAAACAATCTTTTTGAAGTTTGGCCACATAGTTTGCAAACAAAAATGTTGTTTTGTTATTTTTGTTTTTCCTGCGAAAAAATGGGTTTTCCACACCAAAACCATCTTTTGTCCTAGGAAGAAGTTGGTTTTTCCCACCAAAAACCAATTTCCTAGGGAAAACAAAAAAACATTTTTTTTGAAGTTTGGCCACATAGTTTACCAAAAGATGTGTTTTTTGGTTGTTTTGGTTTTCCCTCGGAAAAAAATTTTGTGAGAAAGAATACAGCGTTGCCGTGACGTGTGTGCTCACGTCGATCCTGAAGCAGTTGCTTAGCGGCTGGTTTGTGGTTGGACAAGCAGAGTGTCACCGTTGCTTGCGTGCTCACGTCGAACTTGAAAGAGCAGTCCAGCACGTTTTGTTGAAATGTGAGCTTCGTTTAGGTTGTCTTTGCGAGATACGGAATCTGGATCTGCCGGAAATGCCGTTTCAACACGGTATTTACGATACAAAACGAGGGTCGGTAGTTCTTGGGGGGGTTACCATACGTACATATATATATATATATATATGTATACATATTTATAGATATGATTATATCAGTCTATATATACATATATATATATAGAGAGAGAGAGATATACATACACGCACAATCATATGCTTTATATGTATAGTCCATGGTTACATTCGATCATGGTTTAGGGCCTCTGCGTGCATCTCCGGCAGGTGCAGGAGATACAGGTCCAGCCCTTTCGAAACGAGACGACTGAGGCCCTGGAGGCCATCAACGCCGAAAGAATTTAGAGTTTAGGGTTCAGGGGTTCAGGGTTTAGACGCCTCAACCCCTGAGACTCTCGAGCATAGGGTTTTGGAATTTACGAAAATATATCATAAGCCGTTATACCCTTATAGACCGTTATAGAAGCCCTTATATAAACCATTGTACACCCTTAAATACACCTCTATAAGCCTTCATAAGCCTGTTTAGACCCCCCTACCTGTACCCTTGAGCGTTTCTGGAAACCTTTATGAACCTTCTTAAACCTTAATAGCCCTTGTGCCCCTAAGCCCTTGAGCCTTGGAGGCCGTCGAGGAGTCGAAGCACCTGTCGGACAAGGACTTCAAGAGCTCCAAGGCCCGGAGGATGTTTGTGTTTTTTTAGTTGTTGTTTCAGGTTTAGGGCTTAGAGTTTTAGGATTCAGGGTCTAGCATTTGGAGGGTTTTAGGATATAGGGCTTTAGGGTTTAGAGGGGTGAGGGCTTTAGGGTTTTGGAGTTCAGGGTTTCGACGTTAGGGCCTTGAGGATTCAGGGTGCAGGGGCTTAGAGTTGTTGTTCAGGGTTGAAGGCCTGGGATATGTTGAAGGCCCGGGTCATTTGAAGGCCTGGGATATGGTGAAGAAGTTGGACATCAACTTCCACAAGGCAATCAGCGACGACCCCTTGGTGCTCCTCAAGACAGACGCTTAGTTCTCCAATGCTCGAGTGTTGGGCTTTTCGGGTTCTTCTAGTTTCGTAGTAATCTGAAATTTTAACGCCAGTTTCGTAGTAATTTGAAAGTTTAGTTTTTATTTCTGTGGCTTATTGCAAAGTAAGGACGGCCCCAACCAAATGGGCCGCCCCAAGGCCTCTGCCGTCCGATACCATGGGAAGTGTGCTCCGGACGTCTTCGCTGTGGGCGATCGGCTCATCTTTACCGGCAAGGGGCACAAGGACACCCCACTAAACCCTTAACTCTAAACCCCTGAACCCTAAAACTTAAATCGTCTAAACCCTAAACCCTGAAACCTGAACCCTAAACAAGGACATCCCACACGAGGCCGTGGTGAAGGTGAATCGTTTGGCGAATGCCTGGTTGGACATCTTCCCCGTGGCGAAAGGGTATGTGGAAGTGAAGTACCTGGGGAAGGTGGCCATCGTCCCGATCTCGCAGGTGAAGCGCGAAGCTATGGGGAATCCTAGATTGCAGCTGGCTCTAAGACCTCTGAATCTAATTTTTGGCCTAATTAATTACCTATGCCAATACCATTTGGGGGGTTCCTTGTTGTACATATAGCATAATTAATGGGTTCCAAAACCCTATTCTAATTATCAAGGCCCCTGTATTATGAACCTAGCAGTTCTTGAAACCCACCTATTAGGCCTGTGCCGGTAAAGTAAAAGCCAGAAAGTTGGAATATGATTATCCTAAACCCTTTATGGTAAATTATCAGGTATCCTACCCTGAAACCATATTCCAACTTTCTGGAGTTCCCTTTAAGCCCACCCAAGAAAGCAGACTCGCCCTGCATCCCAACTAAAGTCCCACCCAAGAAAGCATTGTGCGTGTGTGTGTGTGTGTCTTTGATTTGGGAGTTTCCGAAAATTAGGGGTATCTTGTTTTGGGGTCCTTATAATAAGGATCTTACTATTTAGGGTACACACTACATTTAGGGTCCCCAATTTCGGAAACCCCCATTTGATTTTTTCCGCCTGTACTTAGAGGATCATGGGACTTAGTAAGTAGGTTATAATTGGGGTTATAAGTCCCCTAAGTGGGGTTATCCTAATTATAACCTACTTATAACCTTACTTACTAAGTCCCATGAGCCTTCAAGTAAGGAAGGTCAAGGTGGATCCGGGTCTCCAGGACTGGCTCTTCAGCACCCAAAACCACCTCGAGGTGAAGAGGGCGAGTTTTGAGCAAACTTTCTCTTCCGCTGTTGGTTTTTTCAATATCCTATATAAACCCTGTAGGGCTGCGGGTCCTTCTCATTAAGATGCTTCAGTCGCCGCAGCTCACGCTTGAGGTGAAGTCACCGGCGAAGCATGACCCCAGCCGGCAGCAAGTGGCTGACACCTTGTGGCTTCCCGTGAAGAAGGATAAGGGTGCCTAGAGAAGAAGCCTCTTCGGAGCATCGGCATTGCGCGGCAGAAAAAGCAAGAGCGGCTTGACGCGGAGGGCTTCAGTGCTTCAGGCAACGCAAGGCCGCATACCTCCAACGCCACCCGCTCTACACTAAGCCCCTTAAGGCCCTAACCCCCTAGCCTTAAGCCCTCAGGGCTTCCTTCAGAAAATCTTGACAGTTGCTTTCAAAATCGTGGGAACTCGAAGGGCCGGGTGGCCCCAAAAACCGCCGAGCAATGCAGCGGAGCCCACAGTAGCAGAGACCAAGTTCCGAAACGGGTTTACGGTGTTTTAGAGGCACCGGGGTTTCGGCCAGGTGACGCTAAGTTCGTCATCGTGGGTGACGGCCACCTCCTCGCACACAATCAGGGGCGGGTGCACGCCCTGGGCGTCGGTCGGGGGCCCATGCTGCAGCAAGCCAGAGGATCGTCTTTTTCGGGGTGATGGCTCATGAGCGGCTCATGGAGTTTACCGGGTTTAGTGGGTTTACGGAAGGTTTAGATTTGATCAAGGCTCAGGGTTCTGGGATTGTAGGGTTTCGGGCTTACGAGTGCAGGCTCCAGGGGTTAAGCTTTAGCTTTTCAGAGTTTTTTTCGGTTTAGGCTTTTAACAGTGGAAGACGGGGCGGGTGGAGGGGAAGCGGACAGGGCAGGAGAAGGCTGAGAAACAGACGAGGTGAAGTCACCGCCAGTACCTTAGCTGGGCTCTACCTGAGAGTATTTGCTTACGGTATGTTCTAGTATAGTAGATTCAGCAGGAACAACAGCAGCACCACTGGAGGAACAACTGATCACATAGTTGAGTGTGAGCACGACTAGACCGACCCTACTCGCAACGTTTTAAGTGGCAATGATAGCAGCAGCGCTTACGCAACATGCGGCATTATAGCTTGACAGATTATTCGTGAACTCATCAATTGAGAACCTTTTTCACATCTTCACAAGCTTACAATGGTCTCTTGATGCTATATAGTCTATGTGAGAGCCCTATGCCCCTGAAAAAAATACAGCCCGATTGGGTCCCACTCCTATCGTTATGATCAAAACAACTGGCGCCAGCTCTCTCAAATGTCTACTTGGAGGTTCATGGCTAGTTATAGGTGGGGTTATAAGTAGGGTAACTATACTTATAACCCATATTCGGGGACTTATAACCCCACGTATAACTACCCTAAACCCTAAACCCTATAGAACCTCTAAAGGAACCCTAAGCCCCACGTATAACTAGCCATGAACCTCCAGGTAGGAATTGTTCCCATCATCCCAAGGCCATGCTGTTAGCTTCACCGGCTCCCTGAAAAGTGGCAGCGCCCACTTGAAGGACAGTGGGCTTAGGGGTTGTGGATTTAACCCTTACATAACGGAGGGTAGGGTTAAAATGTAGGGATCATTTCCTGGTCCCTCCGAGTGGTTTTCCTGCGGCAGCATGTCCTTTGGCTTTTATTAGTGTGTACTAATACTGACGGAGCTCATGGGCATCATGCGTAGGCTACCTAGACGCAAATCTTGGTTCTCAACCCTATACCCCAAACCCAGGACTAAGCCCTACCATATAGAGAACCCTGAACACTACATACTCTACATCCGAAATCCAAAAGCCTCGTTGAGGCTGCAAAGGTTTCAGATCATGCTTGGGCGGGTTTTGGAGCTTTAGGTTTGATTGTAGATGTTGAAGGTTTCGGGCCTTGTCTGGACCCTCAAGACCCCAACTGGTGGTGGGGCATGATATACAAACACTATGAATCGAGAGCGAAGCTGGCTACCTCAGGAACAGGTTACCGGGCTCTTTGCTTCAGGGCTTGATGCACGTCTTCAGGGTTTACGACCTGAGGGTTCCACAGAGAGAGAGAGAGAGAGAGACAAGGAGGGAGAGACAGAGAGAGAGGGAGGGAGAGGGAGAGCGATAGAGAGAGAGAGAGAGAGAGCGGGAGAGCGAGAGAGAGAGAGAGAGAGACGAAGAGAGAGACTGAGACAAAAATTGAGATCAAGCGAGCGAGGCAACTGCAGGGCTCAAGGAAAGGAGCCAGGAACCTTGAACTTGAATGAGATAATGAGGATCTGCACAGTTATGTCCGAAAACGAGCTTGAAAGCCGAAGGTCCAGTCTCTGAGCAATCAGAAGCGGTACTCGTAACCAGTGAGCCTAAGGGTCTTGAAGCCTAGACTGGACTGTAAACCCCAACAGCTGTGACGAGTATAATATGTGTAACCCTGAGCCCTGCTAACATATACCCTAGACGTGACCCCAACTTGGCTTTGAAGCCAGGCTCTGTTCAAGTCCTGCGATGCCGTCGTCGTTCCGAGCCGCAACGAGCCCTTTGGCATCGTCGTTCTGGAGGCGCTTTGGGTGCAGCTTGGGGCTTGTTGCGGGACTTGCGCATGGGCTTTGCAATCCTGTTGCTGCTTCCGAAGTCCTTCGTTCCTTGACTAACACTTCGCTTTCGGGATTTTAGCGTTCTGCAAACCTCATGGAAATTCCACGAATAAGGCCTGCAGGGCCCACAGTATCCTTGGGTGTATCAAGGTACGATACGGCTCACATTCGGCACGAAGCCTCTTGCAGTGTGCCCAGAGCTCCAGAATCCCTCAAGTAAGGTATATGCCTATCAGCATCCCTTTATGCTCTAAGGTGTTCTCCTCAATAGATGCCAGTCCTCGGAGCCCCATCCGTTCCCTTCTTTTTGCAGGATCCCTGCAGATTCGTCTTTAGGGTTGCTGTGCTGGTAGCTTCTGGTAAACGCATGCCTTGGAGCCTACGCCCCTAAACACGAAACAGCACCAAAGCCGACAGAATAACATCAAGTCCAGCAAGACGTCAGTAGAGCCTCTTTGTGAGCCCCACGCAGGCCCCAAAAGTAGTAACATGCTCATGGTAACGGCAGAAAGAGATAAATCTTAAGCCCTGGAAGCCTCAAGTTCCAAAGCCAAATCCGTAGGCCTCAAACCCAGACTCAACAGCCCCCGACGAGACCTCATCGTACTGAACCCTAAACCAGCCTTCAACCGTATACTGGGCTTCGGAGTACCATACTTTAATACTTTTTTGGGACCTGTTACTTAAAGGGAACCAATTGTGACAAACAAGTCTATACTTTTTTCTCCTTGGTTACTTTAAAGCCCAGTATAGGATGCAAGCACCGGAGCGAACATCTGCCGGAGCAATGGCATGGTTTACTTTAGGGGCCTTAAAAGTACCCATACTGTTTTGGCGGTTCCGTAGTGTAATTATAGTATAATGGGCCCCAAGGCCCTATTCTTACTCTAAAAGACCCTATAGTAGATGCAGAGTGTAGGGTTTTGGGACTGTGGCTTGTGCTTCGTGGTGCACCCTGTTGGGAGGCTTGGGCCTCCGGCAAGCCCGTCGTAGCGACGACCTCCGGTGGACCCCGCGACTTCGTGAAGCCCGGGGAGGACATTCTGATATATTCTGATATATTCTGATATATTCTGATATTTGTGTTGATCAGGCGTGGGGGGGGGATTGTATAGAAGAAGAGTATCTTGTTGGTTATGATGGTTCTTTGACGCTTTGGGGTTTTAGGGGTTTATGGTTTAGGGGTTAAGGGGTTTAGGGTTTAGGGGTTTAGGGGTTTAGGGTTTAGGGGTTTAGGGGTTTAGGGTTTAGGGGTTTAGGGTTTAGGGAAACCTGCTCCATACTAAACACTCGCGCAGTACGGAGGCCGTGCGCCTCTTCTGCAGGCTTCGGTAGCATCCGATAGAGGCATCCGTCAGCGTAATAATCCATGGATTATCGGGGTCGGAATACATAGTAGTAATACTACCACCCGTTTTGCCGTTTTTCTGTGCATATACTACAACAAGTATATCCTCCAAACCCAAGTCTAATGTCTTTTAAGCCCCTTCACTGCGATGTCGACACCGAAGCCCTTTGCAGTTCTTTTTACTTTTGAAACCGTCCCCTATCCCACTTTGCACCCCCTTCCTTCACACGCCCTTTGCCCAATGAATCCTTGGCCGTGAACGTCTCCTGCACCAAAGCCCAAAACCTACAAAAGCGGCTATGCGCCCAAATCCTAAGTCTTTCCACAACCTACAGGCTTTATCCTAAGTTTCAACAAGCCTTATAGGATCCTGTACCCTAATCCCTAAAGCCCTAAAGCCTACTTGGAGGTTCATAGCTAGTTATAAGTGGGGTTATAAGTAGGGTTAGGGGACTTAGAACCCCACTTATACCTGCCCATGAACCTCCAAGTATGAATTTGACTGCCCGGGCCCGGAAAGGACGGCTACCTCGTGGATCCGGACCCCGGATCCATCGCTTGGGGCTGCTGCAAGATCCTCGAAAACTTCGAGCACTCGAGGCGTGGGCTTCCTCTCGAGGTTTAGAGCTTGGTTTTTAGGGACCCCCAATAGCACATATGCACAAGCATTGTAGAGGGATATCCCGACCTTATTGGGCTTCATGATAAGGGGTTTTGTATGGTTTAGAGCTTGCTTGAGGTTTAGGGAATACTTACACGGTATATGAGGGCTTGCATTAGGAGTATGGGGTTTAGGGCTTCCGGTTTTCCGGGCAGAGCTTTAGGGTATGAGTTTAGGGCCCGTTGTTTCGGGTGTACGCTCCGGGTTTCGGTTGAATCGCGAATTCCCCAGGCCTGTCTCTGAGGTTCAAGAAGGAAGCACTTTAAGAAAGGATTCTGGAGTAGGCCCAGGTAGAGCCCCGCAACCCTAAACCCACCCTGAAGGGCTGCAAGGCTTCTGTTAACTAAGGGCACCTCGACCGGGTCCTGGTAGCTGGTAGGTGCTGGAGTCCTGTGGTTCGGCGTGCGGGATGTTTGCTTGGAACTTCTTCGTTCGGCGTCATTCTCGAGCCCTAAATATGATACAGCTAGGCCTGGAAAGGGTTTCTGGGAAGACATTTTGGGGGCCAAAGTACATACTCTGCAGGTACATGAAGCCCGAATCAAAGCCTACACTCACCAAGGTTTTGGGGTGTAGTATGGTGTAGAGTGCAGTATTGTAAAGGAGCTCTTGGGCCTGAGATGCCTACTTAGAGGATCATGGGACTTAGTAAGTAGGTTATAATTGGGGTTATAAGTCCCCTAAGTGGGGTTATCCTAATTATAACCTACTTATAACCTTACTTACTAAGTCCCATGAGCCTTCAAGTACTGTTTCTGGATCAATGATCGTTTCGCCTAAACCAAGTCGTTGGACTCACGCAACCACTGGAACCCAGCCAGGGTCATTCTAGTTTGCGCTTGATCCCTTAACTCGGTCTTATTTTCTCGTGTGGTTTGGCAGAAAAGAAGCTTCCATGAGCCAGAGCTTCCAATAAGATACACACCCAGACCCCGAAAGCCTCAGTCAACCTTAAATCCGACATCATAAACAAGCTTTTTTCCCTAACCCCAAACGAAGAGGAGCCCATTAAAAAAAAGAAACACAGCAGCAAAACACGTTACATACACTTTAACCTGAAAAGAGCACCGTAGAAACCTCTAAATCCCAAACCCTAAACCCTAAACCTCTAAACCCCCAACCCTAAACCCAAACCCTAAACCCTAATGACCCCGACTCTGAAGGTGGATGGGCAAGAATGCCCAGGCCAAGGCTATCCGTGACTTTAGTTGGGAGAACATCGCCGTGCAGACGGAACAGGCGGGGATTTTTTCAGTTGTAGGAAGCCAAACCACTGGTTTTTGCAAGTCGGGCTCTGGTAGGGATGAGCCCCACTAGAGGATCAGAGACAGTGCCTGGCCCAACTGCGCAAAAGCACGCTTTTACATCCCGGCTCTTGCAGTTGGGTCTTGCTTAGGCTCATGGGACTTAGTAAGTAAGGTTATAAGTAGGTTATAATTAGGATAACCCCACTTAGGGGACTTATAACCCCAATTATAACCTACTTACTAAGTCCCATGATCCTCTAAGTAGACCCTAAACCCTAAACCCTAAACCCTATAGATCCCTCTAAGGAACCCTATAGATCCCTTTCAGGAGCCCTTTAAGGAACCCTACTTACCAAGTCCCATGATCCTCTAAGTGCAGAGCTGTAGAGTCGTTGGTAGTTGCCGGGCTCAGGAGCCTTCCAGGTCTGTTTGCGTTAGGATTTCGGGTCGAGGGTTGAGGGTTTAGGGTTTTGGGGTTTAGGGTTGAGAGGGTTTGGGGTTGAGAGGGTTTAGGGTTGAGAGGGTTTAGGGTTGAGAGGGTTTAGGGTTTGGGGTATAGTGTTTTGGGTTTTAGGGTTTAGGGGTTTCAGGGTCGGGGTCCGTAGTGGTGAAAGTCTCGGAGGATATTCGAGCCTGGCCACATGGATACGTGCAGGGTCCCTTGATACGAGGTCGGGTGAATATTTGGCTTTTTCCATGAGGCACTCTGCGGCTCCTTAGCGAGATATGTGTGTGTGTGTGTGTATACATGCTGGGTTTGAGTCTGAGTATGGGGAGGCTCGAAACAAGAACCCTACATCACATACCCTCACCAAACCTTGAAGCCTCCTTAGTTCATACCAGCGACTTTCAAAAAGAGTCTTCCTGACCTGAAGCCGTAATGTCAGCTTACTTCGAGGAACATAAACAGAAGGGTATGAGCCAAAAAAGGTACATCGTCCTTTTCTAAGATACCTCAGTTACTCCAGGTAAGAGCTTGCCCTGGAACCCTCGTGCCTCCACTAAATCCTATAACTATAGAACCCTAAAGGCCGAGAGAGCTGAAGACTTGAACGAATTCCGAGCTTTTCGGCGCCACAGCTCGAAATGTATCCTAAACCCTAACTGTGGCCCCAAAAAAAAACAACCTTTTGGGTGAATTATATAGATAACATAATAAGAAGCCCTATAGGGAGGTAGGTTTTTTCAGCTGCGGGTAATCCTGAGTAGCAGAGTATAGTATACGTAACCTTTAACCTTTTTTGGGTAGTATAGTCCCTATATAATCCCTATATACCCAAAAAAGGTTCGCCTTTTTTCCCATAATCCCTATATACCCAAAAAGGTTAGCCTTTTTTCCCATGATACCCGACAAGTAGGCATCCCAAAGGCCCGAAACCCGACGAGGTCTACTACTAGTGTAACTATACTTATAACCCCAATTAAGGTACTTATAACCATTCTTACTAAGTCCCATGATCCTCCAAGTACGAGGTGTACTACAGCCTGCTGAACCTGGAGGGCGCTCCTCGCAGCAACGACAGAGCTGCCGGCGCTCCGATCGCCAACACCCTGCCGCTTAGCCTTTGCAAACGGAGAGGGGTTCCCTTTAAAGGGGGACCATAGCGGTTCCTTTCAAGATCCTCTAAGGGTTTAGGTTTGGGGATTAGGGCTAATCTGTAGCCCCAAGGGCCTATCTCGTCAAGAAGCATGGAAAGAAACAGCTTTTCTAGGCACCCTAGGTCCTGCCGCTTCCTTTGCAAAGACTTTAGGGTCCTTCAGAATGTTCCTTGATGTTCTTCTATTTATTCTGATACAACTCTAGGGTGTTGTTTTAGGATAGTACTTTCATTATGGTTGAAGGCGCTTAAGAAGAGTGGCTTTAGGGTTTCGGGGTTGGGTTCGGTTTACCTGTGCTCTCCAAAGCAGTTCATTGCTTGGTGCTGACGAAAACGAGGTATACTGGATTACAATCGAGAGCAAGTAGAGATAGGATTCAGGAGTTTTCCGTTTAGAGCTGGGGAGCTAGAGGATCCTTGAGGGTTCGGCCATCTTCATCATAGACCTAAACCCAGAAGGTTCTTTTGCCCTGGGTCTTCGGCGCATGTAGGTTCTGCGCTACCGCCGGCTTACGCTATATTTTTCAGGGCTTGCGGCTTAAGGTTTATGGTCAAAGGCTCTGTTACAGGGCACTCCAAGCATTCTGGGCAAGCGTCGACTTCCTGATTTTGAAGAATTTGAGACTCCAAAATCCTCAAAACCTCTAACCCACACCTTCCTACCCTCATAGAGCCGTTTAGTCACTCATTTTGTTCTTTATAACCTTCGACCCAGGCGACACTGAACCCGAAAGTCGATGTTCCTCGCATCCTTACTACAGGGGCCTTAATAATTACCTACCCAGAGAGCCCAATACTGTACCCCTTCATTAAGGATCGGAATAGAGCTTAAATCATTTAAACCCGTAATGATTTAAGGTATACTCCTGAATTAAGGGGTATTGGGCTCTTTGGGTATACTATTGCGTGAGAAGCTAGGTAAGGTTCAGAGTGAGACACGGACTTGTTCAGTTATATTACATATTGGTTCAGGGCTTACTTGAAGAGTCATGGATAGGTACTGTAACTGCTCCTAGAAGTGCATCAACCATGGACTCAGCACATCCCCTTGCAGGTCCAGAGGCCTAATCAGGATTTGAGATGTGGCGGAGATTTCACAGGGGGTTTGGAGAGTTTCTACTGGGATTATACAGAGCCCGTGACGAAATAGTTGGTTCATGGACCAAAACCCCTAAATCTCATAATTCTCGTAAAGGCCAATACCGGCATCTTCCACCATGAACCATATGCTTGAATCCGGCAAAGGCTGGCAGAAAGATGCTTCAACATGAAGGTGGAGGTCAGCTTTCTGCAGGGCAGTCTTTGCGTTACAGGAATATGGCGAATTGAATATAACAGATGTTATCAGCTCTGAGGCCTTAGGACACAGAAAAGTTATCCGTTGTACATTGTCGGATTCAGACACCGGGCTGAATGTGGGATAACAGCCTTTATTAAACAATTCCATAATGTAGTCTTGACTTTTGATGAATAACCGATGCTCCCTTACCACGGAATAGAATCTGGATCCTCGCATTATATACGTCCCTTTTTATTTCCATGGTGGTACGACTATCCATGATCCATCAAGTGGTGAGACGACTGCCAGAACAGCCACAGCGGTCGTTTCGACCCAGGTAGGTGATCAAACGTCAGGTTGTAGAGTGTTGGGCCTAGGCAGTTTGTTTCAGGACTTCATCAGGGCTTTGGCTTAGCGGGCTCCCGGAGAGGTAGTTAAACATCTGGTCTGATGAATGTCACTCTTGCGCACATGATACTGTGTAGGGTTTAGGGTTTAAGTATGCTTGTGTTAATGGTTTAAGGTGTAAGTGTTTCGTCTTGTACGTTGAGTTGAAGACTGTTGCAGATGTTCAAGTGGCATCCGTGCCTGTGGACTAGTGAGAATCACTTCGATAGATACTTTACTGCTGCAGCTTGGAATACTCGGACGCGGTTGCCGCTTTCTTCGGCCCTCTTAATACCCTTGTGCCAGTGTGAGAATGTTGCTTTCGCATCATTGCTTCGACGCTGAGTCTGTGTTTATAAAATCCGAGTACCTCCAACCCCGCGAACCTCCGAACCCCAGCAGATGCTTGTGATGAGAGAGCAGATGCCCTGCCGGTAAAGCCTAAAGGCGATACAAGAACTGTACCATGATCCCAAGCACCCTTATGGTCCTTAAAAGTGTTTACTGGGTAAACTGAGGTATGATGCTAAGTCGTGAAATTGGGATCTTCAGTGAGTCATGATCTTTTTTGCTGGTCAAACCTACATGTGATATATGTGTTTGTTTCAGCATAATCTGCTCCCATATCGAGTGGTTTGATGACAGTGCCGATTAATTAAGTACGGCTCTCAATAAGTAGTAGAATATTTCACTAGGTTTCCAGGACTTATATTGCCCTCTGCATCGTAGGACTCCATCTTGGGCCCTTGTCTTGCCGAGTCTCGAAAAATGGTCCAGGATGGTGACGAGTTGGTCAACCGCGGCGTCTCTCTGTTAAAGCCTCTTGGCTTCGGAAGACTTCAGTTTAGAACGGGCATCGATTCGCGCAGTCTTGCGAATGACAGAGAGTTCGTAGGGTTTTGTGAGGGGTTTTACGGTGTTGGGCTTCGTACGGTTCAATGAACGTGATTGACATGTGTGGTTTTCGGGACTCAGGGTCGTAGCTCTAGGAGCTTGTGCGTTAGGGGTTTAGGGTTGCATTGAAGTCCAGGGTTTGCTGCAGCATCTAGCAGGTTACTCTCTCTCTCTCTCTCCATCACATTGCCGTGCTTTTTTTCCTCATGGGCATGGACTTAGGTTGTAGGATAGGTATCGACGTGAGCACAATGCCACTGATAAGAGTAAGGGCGTTCCTGGTGCTTTGTAGAACAGAGGCTGGCGGGGACAACTTTAGAATGAAATAGCAACATGCCCTAGCCAGATTTTGCCGGCTATGGGTATACGACATTGTGGCATCATGTGCCCGAGGTGGTTCATTACTTCTAGGATGCCCAGTAGTACCCTTATTCCCTTTTTGTAGTCCTAGGTTCCTTATAAAGTTACACAATACCAAAAAGAGAGGCCTTTTTAGTCTTAGGTTACTGGGTATCCTAGGAGTTTAGGGTTCAGGGTTCTGGGTTTAGATTTTAGGTTTCAGTGTTTAGGGTACCCGCCTTTGGAGGAAGAGCCACTTTACTTGAGAAAACCAAAAAGCCGTTAGACCCTAGAAACCCTAAACTCTGGCTCTCATAATAATAGAACCCCTATTCCTCCAGAGCCCCTGCATAGCCATAAAGACCGATATAGTCCCTAAGCCCCAAACCCTATATGAGCCAGAAACCGCTCCTATGCCTCTACAGCCCTCTCAAGAAGCTCAAACCCTGAGCCCTAAACCTGAAACCCTAAACCACAAAACCCTAAGCCCTAAACCCTATAAACCCCAAACCCTAAACCCTAAATCCTACACCCTCTGGAGAAAAGGAGTTCAACAAAAACAATCCTACACCCTCAATCCTATACCCTACAAACCCTATACCCTTAAACCCTAATCCCCCAAGCCCTTAAAAGGCTCATGAAGTTGGCCACAGCTTCCCTCAGTGGCGACGGAGTGATGACCTGGATGAGCCGCTACGGCCGCACCCAGTTCCCTAAGGCGGCTTCCAGGGCGTCAAGGGTTTAAAGTAAAAGCCAGAAAGTTGGAATATGGTTTCAGGGTAGGATACCTTATAATTTACCATAAAGGGGTTACGATAATGATATTCCAACTTTCTGGCTTTTACTATAGGGTTTAAAGTTTAGGGATTAGGGCTTTATAGGGGTTTATAGGTTTAGGGTTTAGGGTTTAAAGTTTAGGGATTAGGGCTTTATAGGGGTTTATAGGTTTAGGATTCAGGGTTTAAAGTTTAGGGGTTTGGGCTTTATAGGGGTTTATAGGTTTTGGGCTTAGAGTTGAAAGTTTAGGGGTTTGGGCTCTGTAGGGGTTTATAGGTTTAGGGTTAAAAGTTTAGGGGTTAGGGCTTTATAGGGGTTTATAGGGTTAGGATTCAGGGTTTAAAGTTTAGGGGTTTGGGCTTTATAGGGGTTTATAGGTTTTGGGCTTAGAGTTGAAAGTTTAGGGGTTTGGGCTCTGTAGGGGTTTATAGGTTTAGGGTTAAAAGTTTAGGGGTTAGGGCTTTATAGGGGTTTATAGGGTTAGGATTCAGGGTTTAAAGTTTATTGGTTTGGGCTTTATAGGGGTTTATAGGTTTTGGGCTTAGAGTTGAAAGTTTAGGGGTTTGGGCTCTGTAGGGGTTTATAGGTTTAGGGTTAAAAGTTTAGGGATTAGGGCTTTATAGGGGTTTATAGGGTTAGGATTCAGGGTTTAAAGTTTAGGGGTTTGGGCTGTATAGGGGCTTATAGGTTTAGGGTTAAAAGTTTAGGGATTAGGGCTTTATAGGGGTTTATAGGTTTAGGGTTTAGGGTTTAAAGTTTAAGGGTTTGGGCCAATGGGCTGTATAGGGGCTTATAGGTTTAGGGTTTAAAGTTTAGGGATTAGGGCTTTGTAGGGGTTTATAGGTTTAGGGTTTAGGGTTTAAAGTTTAAGGGTTTGGGCCAATGGGCTGTATAGGGGCTTATAGGTTTAGGGTTTAAAGTTTAGGGATTAGGGCTTTGTAGGGGTTTATAGGTTTAGGGTTTAGGGTTTAAAGTTTAAGGGTTTGGGCCAATGGGCTGTATAGGGGCTTATAGGTTTAGGGTTTAAAGTTTAGGGATTAGGGCTTTGTAGGGGTTTATAGGTTTAGGGTTTAGGGTTTCAAGTTTAGGGGTTTGGGCTTCATAATAGGGGTTTAGAGGGTTAGGGTTTACGGTAGAAGCCCCAAAGTTGCAAACCCAATAGCCTCAACCCTTAAGAGTAATATATAGGGGATCCCAGCACGATTTGGCCTGAATCCGGTTTCCAACTTTATGGGGTTTACTGTAAATCATAGGAGGCCAAAAGGGTTTTAGCCTATGGGGGTTCAGTAGGGATTAGGGTTCCTATAATAGGGATCATATTAAGGAATCCCTACCCCAAGAATCTTAAACCCCCTTTTGGCCTCCCATCATTAAAGTTTAGGGGTTTGGGGTTTATAGGGGTTTATAGGGTTAGGGTTTAGGGAGGTAGAGTGTGTGGGGGTTTAGGGGTTTAGGAGTTTAATTAGGGGTGTAAGGTTTCAGGGGTTTGAGGGCTTTGGGGTGTAGGGGTTGGGGTCTAGGGCTTAGGGGTTTAGGAGATTAGGTTTGATAGGTTTAGGGCTTTAGGGTTAAGGGTTTCGGGGGTGTAGGGTAAAGAGTATCTACTACTTGGGTTGGGGGTCTGAACTAATTTTCGCATGGAAATAGTATCTACTATCGACTTTCTGGTGTGATGTACGCAAATAGTACCTGCTTTTTGGGTTATTTGGAGTGCTAGGCCAGGTTTAAAAAAGACCCAGCATAAGCATACATACTTATATGAGGGTGCAGTGCGGATAGGGCAAAGACGCTTGAAGCTTCCCAGATCGTTACCAAACTTCGTCCGTTGGTATCTGTTGTTGTTGGCCGTATTATCCCCAATGCCATATGTACAGAATCCTGGCATGATACACTCGGTCCAAGTCTTGCCCAGACCCTGAATCAGAGGGACCCTTGGTGGGTAGGGGGGAGAGGGGTAGGGGACTATACTTCCTTAAATAGACCTTACTGAGTCCTTGTTATGGGCATTAATAAAGGTCCCCTACCCCCTCCCCCTACCCTTGTAAGTGTCCTTATGACTGAAGTCGTTTGCGCGAGACACTCCCTCCCCTGAGATCGGCACCCTAAACAAACTACCTAAAAGTCGCAGAACCGAGCACCAACAACAAAACGCCATTGCGAAGGCGAGACCTCAGACCTTTGGTAACCCTAAACCCTAAACACTATTAAACCCCTAGGCACTTGGGACTGCCCCTCTCTTTGGCACCCTCTCCCCCGACTGCTAAGGCACGGAGTTTGGCCAGATTGATCCGGTTGACATGCCGCGAGCCGGCAATGGCACCTCGCCCGATTGGTGCAGTTTTGGGATTCATGCCAGTATCAAAATTCAAAACGCGGCTGCAGGCCTCTGAAGTTTCGGGGGTAGCCTTATCTGCATCTCTCAAAACCCCGCAAGAGAGTCGCGTAACTCCCGTGAAGTTCGAGGCATCACAAGCGAGGTCCTAAATTTCTCAAGCCGGACGCCCTGAGTCGTGTAGCAATTAAGCCAGGAAGCTTCGCAATAGAAGAAACTGTGTAAAAGTGTATTTGCTTGGTTGCGTGAGGGTGTAGGGTTTAGGGTTTAGGGTATGGGGCCAGTTTAGGGCCTTAGGGTGTCCTTCTTTGGGGCATCGAATACTCGTTGGAGTTTGAGCAATGTTGACGCGTCTGCGTGTCTGTGGAGGAAATAAAAGCCTTCTACGATGACACCGGCCAAAGCATGCCCGATACAAAACCGAGGGTACAAAGCACCCAAAACCCTAAACCCCTAAACCCCAGAACCCCTAAACCCCTAAACCCCTAAACCCCTAAACCCCTAAACCCCTAAACCCCTAAACCCCTAAACCCCTGAACCCTGAAGCCGAGCAGAAACTCCAACTCGTCTCAAAACTCCTGAAGGTTACACCTGAGCCCGGAACCATGACTAGGATGCCCAGTAGTACCCTTATTCCCTTTTTGTAGTCCTAGGTTCCTTATACTGTTACCCAATACCAAAAAGAGAGGCCTTTTTTTCTTAGGTTACTGGGTATCCTAGATGAGTTTTTCGTTCGTTGGCTCCAGAGAAAAGGATCCGCAGGTCAGGACCCAGGTTCCTTAGTCCTTAAACCCCCAGGCCGAAAGTGAGGGCTGACAAAGATATGGGAGTTTCCGAAAATTAGGGGTACCTGATTTTGGGGCCCTGATAATAAGGTTCCTACTATTTAGGGTACTATATTAGGGTTTAGGGTTTAGATATGGGGGTTTCCGAAAATAGGGGACCCTAATATAATGCCCTAAATAGTAGGATCTTCATTCTAAGGACCCCATAATAAGGTACCCCTAGTTTATGGAAACTCACATATGGCTTATCACTCAACGGAGAACGTGTATACCGCGCTTGACAGATTGAATCACACAGCCGTCAACTGCTACAAGCAGCATGCCGGAGAAGAGAGGGAGGACAGCGCCTTTTGGCAAGTGGCGTGCTTGGCCCTTACCATCAAAGTTCTGCTGCAGGGCTTATCACGGGCTCAGTGCAATCGACAACTGTCGCAAAGCTGGGAGGCCTTTCATCAATGTTCAGAGCTAACAGGGAGAAATTCCGAGGATTCGATCGAACTGGCAAACTCCAGGTTGCTGACGGAGCAGGTGTCAAGGCTCTCGAGTTGAAGCCTCTCGATGAAGAAGAACTCAAGAAGCAGGCGGCCACTATCGCTCAGGCTGCTACAGCCGCAGGAGTCACTCAAGCCCCCGCACCGCCCGCCTAGTTGTACTGACTGGGCAGTGTGAAGCATCTGATACATGCTGCTTGGCTCCGCATAGTTAGCTAGGCTTCATGTCTGAGGGTTTAGGGTTTAGGATTTAGGGTTTAGGGTTTAGGGTAAAGCTCGAACCTCGACCCCTGATTGTAGAAGACTTTTTCTGATCGTGACCCTTGTATGAACCCTGAAAGGGACCCTCAACCTCGAACGCTCGCTCCTAAATTCTAAGTCCTAGTTTCTGATCCCTAAATCCTAGCTCCAGAAATCCTAAACCTCGGTTCTTAGATCATACATCTTACTTCCTAATTTGGAAGCAACCCTTTCAAGGATTATACTATAGTATAGGGGTTTGGGTACTGCGGTCAATGCTGGTCTCCAGGCTTCCGTAAACTATTTGGGTACATGGACTCTTGGGGTATTACAGTAAAAGCCCCAAAGTTGGAAACCCAATAACCTCAATCCTTAAGAGTAATGTATAGGGAATCCCAGCACTATTTGGCCTTTATCCGGTTTCCAACTTTATGGGGTTTGCTGTATGTTGACATTACGAAATTTCCCCGCGCCCGACTCGAAGTGTCAGGATCCCTTACATCAAACCTCCTAACCACTTATGACCTTACAGCCTTACAGATGCCCTGTAAAGGATCCTTCAAAGGAGCCTTACTCCAGCCACAAAGACCCTTATAGTCCTTAAAACCTAAACCAAAAAGCTGAAAACCCTAAGCCCAAGTCTACCCTAAACCCTGTTTTTGCCTTAGCCCTAAACCCTAAACCATCCTAAGCCCTAAACCCTGAACCGTGTTCTCTTTTTCCGGCCCCGGAATCCACGGTGGGGAAGTTCTGTGAGAAGCCGGGGCTCCCCAGGCTTCAACGATGAGCCTTCGAGGGTGAAGTTCGAGCTGGCCGACAACAAGGACTCTTCCTTCATTAGGGATTAGGATTCCTTTTAAAGGGATCTATAAGGTTTCTATAAGGGTTCCTTTAAAGGCATCTACAAGGGTTCTATAAAGGGTTTAGGGTTTAGATTATTGCTTGGGACCTTTTGGGGGCTTAGGTCTTATGGTCTTGATACTATTCCTCCTTATTTTGCGATTGTCACCGTTTTTAGTATTGTTAGTATTCTTGAATTTTGGGGCTCTATAATACCGTTCTATCTAGTTAAAGCAACTGAAATCTCAAACCGCCAAGGGCTTCAATGCACCACGCCGTGGAGCCCTCAAGGCAATAGATGATTGATAGTTGACAAGTTAGCTAGTGAGGTAGGTGGATGGATAGATTGATGGACAAAAAGATGATAAAGTCTCTTGATCAAATGTACCTACAGGCTCCATCGTAGTTCCCTTTTGTGGTTTATATTCTAGGATCCTATACGGTGATCCCAAAAAAGGAACGGCAATGGAGCCTATGGATAAGTCTACTTGCAAGCCAAATTTCCGCCGGCCTCTCTCCTAAACCGCATGTCTAAGCCCGTGTAGAGCCCCTTAAAAGGAACCCTTATAGCACCCTTACAGTAACCCCTTGAAAGGAACCCTAAGGTACCCCTAGTTTTCGGAAACTCCCACGTGGAAACCCTAAACCCTAAACCCTGGAGGACCTGAAGTTCAATCAGATGGAATCTTTTGAGTCTGCCCTTAACGGCCTCTTGGCAGCAGTGAGTACTTAGAGGATCAGGGGACTTAGTATGTTATAATTGGGGTTATAAGTCCCCTAAGTGGGGTTATCCTAGTTATAACCTACTTATAACCTTACTTACTAAGTCCCATGAGCCTTCAAGTACGTCGGCTGCTCTAGAATTCGGGGCCTTCGGGTCGAGGGTAGGGAAGTTATAGGGTTTAAGAGGGCAGCAGTGAGTCTCGCGCAGGCCGTTCTAAAATTCGGGGCCTTCGGGTCATGGGCATTGGGCTTTTTGGTGCACAGCTTCGAGGTGTCCGGTGGTTCTAGGGTTTACTGGTAGGATTTCGGAGTTTCAGTTTCGCAGGTGGGGGTTCCAGGGTTTCCAGTTTCGGGCAATCCTTGCCTGCATCCGACTTGTCCTGCAAAAGCAATGTAGTGTTTCGGCACACACTAACCCTAAACCCTGAAACCTACACCCTCTAAACCCTAAAGCCCTGTAAGCCCAAAACCTAAGAAATACACGGAGGGCACCTTTCTCTTTGACTTTTTTGTTTGTCCTTTTCCTTGGCGTTTCCTAGCGAAAACACCAGGAAGACACGGCAGTAGCAACACGTGCAGACTGCAGAGGTCCTTAAGCGGAGCGTTGTGTTGTTGATTTCTGTGAGTTGCGCCAGTTTGAGGGTCGGAATGCTTAATTTAGGAGTTTCCGAAAGTTCGGTGGTACCTTATTATGGGGTCGTTATAATAATAAGGATCGTACTATTTAGGGTACTATGTTAGGGTCCCCTTTTTTTCGGAAACTCCCATATAGGGCTCCTTGTCATACTTCTCGCAAATTATGGTATAGTACAGTGTAGCCCAAAACGCTTGTGCTACCCTTCTTTTCAGGCCTCTCTATAATTTAGCGAGCCTCTAGACAGTCTCAGAAGCTTGCGGCACGTCCCTGGTTTGCTCTCTAGTAGGGCTCTGGTAAATCCGAAGTCCCTGTAGATAATCTTGCGGCTCAGGGTTCGGGAGTATAAGCTTAACAGGAGCCCCTATAGATGATGTTTCGACTACGCGCCTGCAGCTGATGTACACACTCCTGTACTACACGCTCATTATAAGAAGGTATTAGACAGAGCTTGGAGATCCTACACGATGGGGCTCGTGGTAAATCCCTTCCTTACATAGGCTGCCAGAACCTAGTTTATGATAGTACATAGGTTCTTGTTTGAGACCCTACTGGTAGTGTGGAATTTATGCGGAACCACAGGTCTTGGTAGTTCAGGGTACTTTATTAGTGCAGGTGTTCTCCATCAGCATTGCTACTTGAAGGCTCATTGGGACTTAGTAAGTCAGGTTATAAGTAAGATATAATTAGGATAACCCCACTTAGGTAACTCATAACCCCAATTATAACCTACTTACTAAGTCCCCAGATCCTCTAAGTAGACCCTAAACCCTAAGCCCTATAGATCCCTCTAAGGAAGCCGATAGATCCCTTTAAGAAGCCCTTTAAGGAACCTTACTTCCCAAGTCTCCTGATCCTCTAAGTACCCAGGCGCAGCACTTCAGCTGGGTTGGCTTGCGTCGAAGGAGCTCTCATCATCGACTCCGGGGGCGTTTGCCAGATAGAAGCAGAGGCTCCAATATCCCTTAATTAAGGAATAAACCTTAAGTCATATTAAGGATCATACTATAATTTAAGGTATATTCCTTAATCAAGGGATATTGGAGTCTCTGGATAGAAGCTGAGCTCGGGGATAGTTGAAGCTTCTCTAAACCCTAAACCCTATACCACAGACTCTAAGTAAACCCTAAACCGCGAACTCTAAACCCTAAACTGTAGGATGGGTTCCTGTCATGGGGGCCTATCTCTTTGTGTGTGTTTGTTTTGCTCCTTTGAGTGGCGGGCCCCGTAACCTTTACCGGGCAGCTGTGCGAGCATGTTTCGCGGATTGCTCCGTTGTCCAGTTGTTTGTTCCACCAGCCGGAACCCTATAGACCCTCAACCCCAAACCTGAATCCCACAGAGGATGCGCAAGCAGGAAGAGACCCCTGTCATGCTGCAGAAATGAGTAGGAAAGCAGCCGTACTGTAGCTGCCTAAACAGATACCAATACTATTCTGAGGAGGTCCTTTTCAAAGAATGGCAAAAGATTTCCCAAAAACCTGTTCCAATTATTAGTGCCCCTATTTATAGACCCGGAGCAGAATCATGCAACAAAGACAGCTTGACAGATTAAGAAACTACAGCATCCTTTAGGCTCTGAATCTCCCACAAGGGTTTAGGGTTTTAGGGGTTCAGGGTTTAGGGTTTAGGGTTCATGGTTGATGATGGTTGTACACTTTGGCTCGAGGCCGGAGGTAAGATCGTGGCCTTATATAATAGGAATCGGGTTTGCATGCATCTTAGTATCTTACCGTATAAGTATAGCAAGGAGCCCAAGAGTATCATTTTGGTAAGTTCTTCAGGCTTCCATCGTCTGGATGAGTCCGAGCGATGATCCTCGTCTTAACTTGACCTAGCCTGCACCCTCAGTTGTATTTCTTGTAGTCGTTTGCCTTTCCCTCTTTGCAGCACACTACCCATAAGGTGCCTTAGCTATACAAACCCACTCAGTTTAGAAAACTCAGACCCCTGACGAGGAGCAGGAGGTGCTTGTCCAGAGCGAAGAGGACAAGGTCATGGTGTACAAGCGTGGCAGTTTGGGCCCCAGACTGTCGCAATTGTCAGAATAGGACTCCGAGAGGTACAGAATCAATAGCAGTCCTAGACCCTTAAATACCGATAGTATAGTCAGTATGCACGTGAGGGTCCCTCCATCTTGCTTTCGAGACTGCTCTTTCTATCCTAAAACGCGCGCGTGCCCACGTGCTTATTTCCAAATGCTCTTCGTGAGGTTCTCGATCGTGGACCCTCAATCTCAAAACATTTACTTGTGTGCAGCCACTGCAGCGCCGATGAGGCAGCTGCGTACTGCAAGGGTGCATACACATACACATAGACATGCATATGCATCTACACATTTACAAATATACACGCATACACGCATATGCATATATACATCTATGCATCTATGCATGCATACGTATATATATATATATATATGTGAGTTTATACATACATAAAACGAATTACGAACACACATTACGTGTAGCTGTGCATAATATGTACATGTATAGACCTTTGTACAGCTAACTAGCTGAGTCTTTCTATACATGTAGACACAGAAGATTTGCATGTTATGGACAAGAGACAGGGCGAGATGGACAGATGTAGACCACGACAGTCGAAGGCCCAAATGGCCGAAATTATCTTACGATCTGTTGTCGGCTGAGGTTGCCTGTTCGTGCTCAATTGGCACCCATGGCAACAATACACCGACTTCGGCATAGAGGCCTGCAGCCGTGTCTGCGGCATTCAGGTTGGAAACAGGCAAGCATGTACAAATCTGAAATTGTACCTGTTTACTGTCACGCAATTCGGGGGTTTACAGCTGGGAGTTTGGGGCCAAAGTTCATTTCGGAACTTCTCCCTCCCAGGCTCGCTAGGAGTCCTTCGCAAAGGTGCCAAAATCACAAGTTCGGGTGCATAAGGGTTTAATTAGGGAACAGAAGTACTGTTTGCCTTCATGTCTGATTCAGATTTGGGATGTCAAGGAGCTCCGCATGTTCTGTCAATAGCATCGGCATTGCACCCCGCCAAAGAAACTTACATGTAACCTGTTGTAGTGTTAGCGTTTTCAGGTTGATTCATACACGGTTACCCGGTTAATGAACAAGCTGGAGGTGTTGCAGTCGGGAAGTTGGACACCCTTATATAATCCAAACCGGAAAGGATTTGTGTGTCAAGCTTTCTTTGACGGTTTGGAGTGGTTTGGGTCTGTCTAGGTTTACGAAGCCTTGATGCATTGTTACGGTTAGGGATTTAGGGTTCAGGATTTAGGGGTTTAGGGTGTAGGGTTTAGGGGTTTAGGGTTTAGGGCGCGACTTATGCTCGATTCCCGCTACTCTTGCAGGTGGCAGCTGTTGCAAAAGGCCACGGCCTCAGCAGCATTTGGGGCATGCCGGCCGGGCATGCAACAGTCGGGACTCGTTTGCTGCATTGAGTCACAGGGGGAAAGGAGGGACCCTTAAGGGGGATCCCTATCCTACAATGGGCTATATAATGGGTATATAATGGCTATATTAAGGGTATATACCTAGGGGTCCTTATTAAGGGTCCCTCCTTTTACCCTTGGATTGAGGCTTTGGCATAGTGCAGACGATGTGGAACCCCGAATGCCCAAGATTCGGCAAGCTGAGCCATATGGCCTCCTAACATGTAGGTTTCAAGCGGTACTCCGTAGGGTTTTAGGTTTGCGATGTCGTTTTCGGACGAGCTTGAACGCAGAGAGCCTGCGTTGGTTTTCAATCTTTTCTATAGCCTCATACACAGAATACAGGCCGGTATGCAGCTGCTTAGCTTAAATATAGTGTATATGTATCAACCTCTAGGATCCCGTCAAACCGAGTGAAACCCTATCGAAGTCCTGTTTTGCCGCCTTCGCATCCTTCCACCACATTGCGGAGGCTTATTTCTGTGTCCCCAAACCCTACACCCTAAACTCTACTTACAGGATCATGGGACTTAGTAAGTAGGTTGTAATTGGGGTTATAAGTCCCCGAAGTGGGGTTATCCTAATTATAACCTACTTTTAACCTTACTTACTAAGTCCCATGAGCATTCAAGTAAACCTTAAACCCGTAATCCTTGAAGGGAGCCCTGTTATAGAGCCTTTATAGTACCCTTAAAAGGGACCCCTAAGCCCTACTAAGTCCCATGAGCCTTCAAGTATACCCTAAACCCTTAATCCTTAAAGGGAGCCCTGTTATAGAGCCCTAAAAGTACGCTAAACCCTAAACCCTAAACTCTAAGCCCTAAACTCCAAGCCCTAAACTCTAAACCCTATTCTTTGAGGTAGCAAGCTGAACCTTGCGCTCAGCACTGACGAGGCGCAGGGGAAGTCATCCATGGCGGCTTTGTACGGGGGTTGACCCTAAACCCTAACTAAACCCCTAAACCCTAAAACCCTAAACCCTAAACCCCAAACCCTAAACCCCTAAAGGTTGACTTCGTATCACTAGAGTCCATAAGGGCTCATTGTTTACACCACCTGTACGGTATATGAGTTCATATGGTTCCACAGCCGCTGTATATGGTGTTAATTAATTTTAGACTGCATTCCAGACACAAGGTTTACTTAGTTTGCTGGCAAGGCTATTTGCAGCAGGCATCCGGTCTCATGCGGCTTTACAGAGGTTGGTGGCCTTGCGGTGGTTGGACTCGGGGGGTCTAGTTCTGCGGTGAAGGGGTTTGAAGATTGATGGCTGCGGAGTAGAAGCTTAAGGATCACCTAGACCCCCCAAGTATCCTCCAATATACCCCAAATACCCACTATAAAGGACCATATGGGCTCTATTAAAGGGTACTTGGGGGGTGCTGGCAGTGGTGGAGGTCTTGACTTGACGGTTTCTGGTTCAGGATGTGGGACTCCATCATTTTCAACCTGGGCGGTTCAAGGTTTCGTTAACGGCTCTCTTGGTTCCAGGATTAATGGGCCTATGCTACCCCCAAAATCTAGCTGAAAAACTCACAACTCTAAGCCCTGAACCCTAAAACGCGACCCTTTGCCAACAGCCGCTCCGGAAGGCACGATTTGGAGGAACTTGCCAGGATGCGGCTGCAGGCGATGAGGGCGTGGGATTCCGGATGCACAACCTTGGGGCAGAAAGACTATATAGAGTTTTGGGTTTGGTCTAGGGCATCCTTAACTTGAATTGTTGTAGCTCATAGCGGCTTTTTCGGGTTCACGGCACTGAAAAGCCTTTATATAGTCTGGGCTTACCCCAGAATTTCAGGGCCTATCGGATTGTGAGGATGACTGGTCGAAGGAGTCACTATCCTAGGTAGTATTAGGAAGACCCCTTAAAGGGGACCCCTGTTAACCGTACGTCTGGTTCTCTGAAAAGGGACGTTGAGAGGGTTTACATCCACAAGGGTCACGCTAATCCTAACCCTAAGGGTCCAAGTACCTAATAATCATATACTCTCACAAATAGTAACCTACATAACTACCTAATGATTTGGTCCTTTAAACCCTTGGGGGAAGTCTTACTTAAAGGATCATGGGGCTTAGTAATTTCGGTTATCATTAAGGGAACTATACTTATAACCCCAATTAAAGTACTTATAACCATACTTACTAAGTCCCATGATCCTCCAAGTAGACCCTGATCTCGAAACCCTATAGATCCCTTTAAGGAACGCTATAGATCCCTTTAAGGAGCCCTTATAGGAACCTAAGTAAGTCCCATGACCCTCCAAGTACACTAGCTCCGAGGCTAAGAGCTGAAAATTCACAAAACGCACAGCACCCAGACCTTCGGGAGGATCTAGAAAGTAGATCCCTTAATTTGGGGCCCTATACTACTAAGGGTACTTTATAGGAACCCCCATTAAGGGATCTACTTTTTGGATTTTTTGGGGGGTCTGGGTAGCCCGCTACAACGCATTTTCACAAGGCTAAAGCCGTACACCAAAGCCCTACTAAGCCTTGGACATATACACTGCCTGAACGGTCTTTGGAAATTCCTACCAACGCCCATACACCCGTGAACCCTGAACACCGGAAGACTTCTTATCGGAAACTTACAAGGAGCCCTTAACGGAACCCTGTCGCCGTGCCAGGCCCTTCGCTGGATGCGACAAGCGCTCCGAACCTCATGCTCAGCGTGCTGCCACCGAGGCCCTAAAGCCCCATTTGCCTGAGAGGGCACCGTAATCAGGGCCCGGACATAGAGTTTAGGTCCCAAAGGCTTCATGTACCATTATAGTAGATACTTAGGCCTTAAAGAGGTCCCTATACAGGTACTTTAAGGCCTAAGTATACACTATATGGGTACATGGAGCCTTTTGGGGTTTTGGGTTGGAGTGACAGTTTAAGGGCTGCGCAGGGGTTTCAGTCTAGTTCCGTAAGGTTTTGAGAGGGTGACTATTGGGTTGAATCGAAGGGTGACTCATGGGTTCTATGTTAACTAGGTAGGGCTTTGGGGCATTTAATATTTTCCCTTATTGGGCTTAAGAGGATCTTATTTACTAATATTTTTCAAAGGCTTTAAAAGCACCACCTAGGTTAACAGTTTGAAGACCCAAACCCCTAACCCTATGGCCTAAGCCCTCAAACCCATCATTACCCGCAAAGCCCTTGAAACCCTAAACCTTAAACCGCAAACCCTTAACCCTAAACCCTAAACCACACTAAACCCTCAACCACACAACCCTAAACCACTCTAAACCCTAAACCACCCGAAACCCCTGAACCCCTAAGCCCTAAACCCCTAAACCTTAATCCCAAACTTGGTCCTAAGCCCTAAACGCTAAACCACCCTAAACCCTAAGCCCTTAAACCACCCTAAACCCCTAAACCCCTCAACCCTAAACCCTAAACCACCCTAAACCCTGAATCCCTAAGCCCCTAAACCCTGAAGCAAAGCAGGACCGGCCTGGTCTTCCACCTACCGACGGATGGCTCTGGCGCGTCGATTGACGCCCTGAAGGGTGCCTAAAGGTGGAAGTTCTTCGGGGGTGGGGTGGAGGGGGCTGAGTCTCTGGTTTTTGATGAAGGTGAAGCGAAATCCTGCCCAGGCGTATCTTTTCTTTGTTGACTTTAATTAAGCTAAGTCCTGACTAATTAGGGTTACTTGTTTGTGAATTTCGTTTTGGCTATCCTGCTTGCGGGGTTCTGCCGCACGGAGTCCGTAGTGGCAGTCCTGCGGCGCCCAAAGCTGGCTTCGGAGCTTAGTTACTTCAAGGAGGCTTAGAGTGGTTTGGCCCCAGGGAAAAGTACCATACTAGACGGTATTCATTACCATTTCGATGGCTTGCCCAAAAGGTCCTATGTACTGTCATGGGGAGTACTTCCCCAAATCATAATAGTAATTCCTTATATAGAAATCCTACATTCTACTATACGGTACTTTGGCCCCTTTGGGTTAGTATATTATATGGGTGGTTGTCAAAATTAGGGTCCCTCTTTTGGGTACCCTACATATTAGGTGCCGTATTATAGTAGGGACCCAAAAAAGGACCCTAATTTTGACAACTACCTATATTGTATTCAAGGAGTTGGGTGTTTGCGCAAACTGCGAAACCTTAAAGCTCGACAGACATGTCTTAGTGCATGTGAAGTGCTGTAGGGGCTTAGGGTTAGGCCTTCAAGGGCGCACAAAAGGAGTACTACATCTATACTGTAAAATTGTTTGTTTGTTGATTTTGAATCGGGCGTTGGGGCATATTACAGGCATAAGGGCATCATACTGGGCCTTGTTACCGATAAGCCCTCAGCGCCGTAAACCCTAGACCTTCTACACATCAAACTTTGTAGCTGAGCTCCCTCTTGCAACCATTAACGCCCAATAGAAGCCACATAAGGCCATGTACTCGACATGCCTAGACCCACACATGCAGCTCCTGTTTCGCTTACTTGTTGTAGTTGAAAAGACAGCGTTGCAGTGCCTGTATTCGTAGTAATCTCCCACGAGGGTGGGCTTTACTTTCTGAGGTTTCCCAGGCGGAATGAAAGGACATTTGCCACAGCATGGGTTCTTGAAGGCTCATGGGACTTAGTAAGTGAGGTTATAAGTAGGTTATAATTAGGGTAACCCCAGTTAGGGGACTTATAACCCCAGTTATAACCTACTTACTAAGTCCCATGATCCTCTAAGTAGCCAAAGAAAGGACTACACAGCAGGATCGAGGCAAGAACAAAATATCAAGCTCTTGGACATCCGACACACGCTACACCCTTCACTTCACACCTTATACAGCCCTAGACGTCGCACCTCAACCCTACACCCCAAACCCTCGACCTCAGCCCTAAACCCCTGAACCCTTAAACCCCTGTGATAAACCCCGATGCCCTAGACCTTAAACCGTGGACCCTGAACACCTAGATCCCAAGCACCCAAGCCCTCAAAGCTGCACCACAAAATTCGAAACACGGCAGCACAAAAAAAACAACAACCCTGAAAGGTGCACCTTTTACCCAAAACCTCAACCCCAAACCTTAAATATCTGCACCTTAAAACCGAAAAATCAAGCGTAAGCCCGGAAAGCTGGATTTTATGGACCATTTGTTTAGGGTCGCATCCCTTTTGGAAGGTCCAGTCCCTCATTTTCAGCACCTTAAACCCCAAACCTCAACCCTAAACCCTGAATGCTGTACCTTATACCCTACATCTGTATCAAACCCTGAACCCAAAGCCCTAAACCCTATAGCCTAGAGCCTTGAACCCTAGGCTCTAAACCCTAACCCCTAAACTCTACCCCCTAACCCGGCCCTAACCCCTAAACCCTAACCCCTAAACCCTAACCTCATAGCCCAAAGCCCCATATCCCCAACCCCCCTCCCGGCAGGCGACAGCACGCGGCTCTCAATGACCCGTACAGAAGCGAACAACCCCAGGATCCCTCCGGGCCTCGGCCTCTTTGCTATCTATAAGGTATTATTAATATAAATATGTATATATATATATATATACATATATATATATACATATATGGGAGTTTCCGAAAAAAACTGATATAGTACCCTAAATAGTGGGATCCGTATTCTCCGCAGGTGGTTTGGTGTTTTTTGGTAGTTATGGTATGGTCTGATTGGGGTTCTATATGCTTTAGGGCACTAATTATAGGGGTTTAGTGTTTAGGGTGTAGGGTAGTCATGGTATTGTTTAGTGTTGTTGACAGGGGTTTAGTGTTTAGGGTTTAGGCTAGTGATGGTATAGTTTAGGGTTCTTTGTAGGGGCAGTGTGTTTAGGGTGCAGGGTAGTTATGTCATTGTTTAGGGTTCTTCATGGGGATTGGTGTTTAAGGTGTAGGGTAGTAGCAGTCTTGTTCAGGGTGCTTTACAGGGGTCAAAATATCTGACGGCAAGGTTTAGATCTAGCCTTGCAGCACTTCTTGACAAATTTCTTTCAGAAACCAAACCTTACACCCTCGTTTCGTCCTTTTACTGACCCACAGGGATCAGACCGCAGACCTGTGGATCCTGCCGGTGATTGTTTTAATCAAAGTGTTTTGATTTCACTTAGCGGACCAGGACTTTCCTTCGCCGCCGTTCTCAGCCGGTTATAATGCATACATGTATATATATATATATATATACATATACATATACATATACATATGCACATATATATATATAGAGAGAAAGATATATACATACATATATATATATATATATGTATATATATGTATACTATGCACGTATTAGTAAGGTATACATATATATATATAGATAGATAGATAGATAGATAGATAGATATATAAATGCATCATATCCCACAATAAGGGGAGCTTGACAGCCGTTGCATCTCAGATTCCTAAGTGCCCAGGCACTCAGAGATAAGAAGAATAGGAGCAATCGTACTAGCAGCAACTGCAACCAAGACGGTGTCAGATAGGACGCCGTTGGCGTGAACCCTAAACCCCTAAGCCCCAATTAAACCCTAAACTCCTAAACTCTAAACCCTAAACCCCTAGATGTGGGCTTGGGATGCACGGTTTTGGGAGTCGAGCCCGGCTGCGAACGGCTTCGAAGCTTGCGGAGTCTGTCAACCGCCGTGACGAAAGAGAAAGTCGTTGCGGCAACTGCGCAGCCTTGCTAGGGCTTCGGCGAGCTGAGACACGAGTTCATTATTAATATGAGTATTAATATTAATGTTAGTAGTAGTAGTAGTAGTAGTAGTAGTAGTAGTAGTAGTAGTAGTAGTAGTAGTAGTAGTAGTAGTAGTAGTAGTAGTAGTAGTAGTAGTAGTATGCATATTACTATTAGTATTAGTATTGTGTTGCAGGTTGAGTCCAGTATTTCGACTGATCCCCTAAACTTTAAACGGCAAACTGCAGAAGTAATTTCAGCCTCTAAATATCCCGAGCCTGAAACCGAACCACAAACAGCCTGGGATTTGGCGACTCATGCTGAAACATGTTGAGCTCTTTCACCCTAAGGGTCCAAGTGCCCAAATAGTAGGGTTTCGAAGTCCAAAAACCATTCAGAGTATTGGATTTGGGGGCCTAAAACCCTACTATTTGGGTACTCGGACCCTCCGGGTCAGGCTTTAATCTTCCGTTAGGCTGCACTTGAGTTCAGCAAATTACTTCCCCTCCCCGGGGCCTAGATGATAAACGACCCTTTCAAGGTTCTAGACTAAAGGTTATGCCCGAAACCCTGAACCTTGTAAGCTACCTAACCGTGAAATATAGGATGTCCTTTATCATGGGTTTCTACTACAAGCTAACCCTAAACCTTCTAACTTACCTAGTATGATGCAGTATAGCTTTGATGGGTTTCTGTGATACCCTACCTGTCGTCCAAAAGAGCCTTCTTTTTTAGGCACTCATTCTGTAGAAACCGCTGGTTCGGCCACAGGTAGGCAGCGAACCCGACCCTAAACCCTGAACCCTAAACCCTAAACCCTAAACCGCCATTACTTCTACGGCCCCGAGCCTTCGGAAGCTCCGCGCGATCTTCTTGTGTGGGGTTCAAGATCCTAAACCAGAAAATCCTGAGCCCTAAACACGTTCAAAAAAAAACCCTAAACCATCCCTAAACCCATAGCACCTGAGACCCCAACGCCTAAAGACTCTAAGCACAGTCGTAATGAAAGCTCCCAGAAGTAGATTATGGCAATTGTAATTCAGTTGAATCAATGCACCCAAATCCCTACACCCTGACATGCAAGCACAGTATCTGAGAATGGCACTTATTCGGGGATGTTCATTGTTTGCAGAATGGAGATCTATTGGGTAGTTATAAGTACAGCTACGCAGGTGACGTATAAGCGAGGTCATTCGTAAGTAATTAGCTTTGGAACTTTAGAAATACCTGAGGCAGAGTGTCTTTAGAGTTTTTAACTACTTTGTTAAGCTATGTTCCTCTTATAATCTAATTAAGAACTAGGGTTAAAACGAGGGTTTAAAAAACTATGCTTTTCACCACCCAGAGGTCTTCATCTCAGCAGCTGGAGCCCGATGCGCACTTGTTTTTTTCCTTCATCGCCGGGCACCTTAGCTTAGAGGAACTGCGGCGGTCAGCACTTGATGTCTGACATCTAGACGAGAAGACCACACTCAAGGCTTATGTTATGGTTTTCCGTATACTCTCCATCAGTGGAGCTACAACTATAAGTATACCAGGCTCTTTAAATCTAGATCCACTCAGACTCATTACCAGGTTTTCTTCAGTCGCGCGCGTGACACCGCAAAATGTTCTACCGCTCCCTTTAGAGGCCGTGCTGGCTGGCGAAAAGCGCCTTCGTTGTCATGGCTTCCAAGATTTCTTCAGAAGCTCAACTGCTGCATTGATTGCAGGCAGCACCTTAGATCCTCATATCGCTGGCTGCTAGCTTGATCCCGTACGCACTTGCCACTCACCTCTGACACCACTGCAACCGGTTCTGGACTCATACCCAACCCAACCGCAAAGATGTAGCATCATTTGCAGTCTAAGAATGCTATCAATCACCTTTGTGGGACCCTTCATCTGTCGCCCACTATATAGGGCCCC